TTTATTTTTAATGTTGTATTTTTACAAATGTTTTTAAAAGGTGTAGTAAATATGTAAGATCACATTTTTTTTCTATGATACCATGGATTTACAAATCTGTTTGTGTATTCATTTGAGACTATGCTGGTTTAAGTGAAATTCTTATAAATCTTAAGTAAGAAGGTGTTATTTGGTAGTGAGATTTGACATATAATTTATATTTGAAATTTCACAAAATTTTAAAGTCCTAAAAAATTTTAGTGTTAAACAAGTTAAATGCCTCGTGATTTTTCTTAAAAAAAATAAAATAATTGAGTGCATCAAGACTTTTAAAAGTCTTAAAAATGCAAGTTAAATATATACCAAAATATCTAAAATTTTAAAAAGTTTTATATATTTTAAATAAATTACAATATCTTCAATTGAAGTGTCTAGTTCAAGAGTGAACTCTATCTGTGGTTCAATGCTTAGATAATCATATTTTTTTCAATAAATATGCGTATGTTCAAGCTGAAATGTTATATTCTAAAAAAACATAAATAAAAGTACGATATTTTATATAATAAACATGTATTTTCGTTAAGAAAATATAATAAATATTAATCAGCCTACTTGTTAGGCGGCCACACAAAAAAATAAAAAATTAAAAAAATAAAAAAATTAAACACATAAATATTACTTTGTACTAACTTATATCACTATAATTATTTTAAAATAAAATGAAATTATAGTTGAGGTAGGGGCTTCGTATAAGCTTTGTCTAGTGTGGTTGCGCCTGCTGTATTACTCTTGCTGTGTTCTTTTTCTTCAAAACAATACAAAAGGTCAAATAATTGGTCTATTTGTAATCTCTATAAAGTCATGGAATAAAATTATAAATTCATTTGGTTTCAATAGAATATCATTATTAGCGTTGATACATAAGTCAAAATAACGATTTAACTGAGGTAAAATTACAACATGACCGATTTTTTTAGTCTTATAAGATTAACAACAAACTCATTCTTGAGATGACTTCAAATGTACAATATTCCAACTTAGAATATTTTTGTCGTCTCATCCTCTTAGGTGCAGCATATTCCCACTAGAATATATTGTGTCAACTTTCATATTTTATTACTACACTCCCAATTTTTAATTACCATTTTTGTCTTCTCTTGTAATAATATTTATTATTTTTGTTCGTTTTGGACATTTGCTATTTTACATCATCTGTGACGTTAAATGGAATCCTATATATATCAATTACCGATCATGACTATGACTAATAGGTAAAAATAAAAATAAAAAATGTTAAGTTAAATAATTTTATTCAAAGGTCATTTCATGCATATAGAAGAGTGGCTTTTAATTACCATTTTCTTATCTTATAATAAAATATTAATTGTTTGTGTTCATTGGAACATTTTCGTCTCATTTTGCATCATATGTGAAGTTATATTGGCATATTATATGTTGACTAACACTAAAGTCTAAGGTGTATATAGAGTATTTTCTTAATTTCAACAAAACATGTTCACAAGTCGTTACATGCATGCATCTAAAATATGTTTTTGTCAATTAGTGGTAGCAGTGTGTGTGTATTAGGTCGGTGGTAATTAATAAATTTATATGTTAAAAAAATATATCATGCCATATTACATACAAAAATCGTTTACTGGATATTAACAATATTTCATATTCATTATTTTAAAAATTTTCCACTCTTTATGTTATACATTGTTCGAAAAATCAGCTATAAAACTTGGGTTTTATGCGATTTTGACTGAATTTTTTATGATTAAATATTTAATTCGGATTGATTTAAATTGTGTAAAAAAATTCTACGTTCTGAGTAGACACTCGTGGTATATTTACTCAAAATTTATTTTCGGTGATGAGAAATAAATGATTAGAGTTAGTCATAAATGGGCTTGCAAAACGTTGGTTGTGAGATTCAAATGGTCAAACTCCTGAAACCGTCAAGTGGTGGACAATTGAAAAGTCACACGTCCAGGTTCAATGTATCTGGAAAGATGTCACATGGGTTAGGTCAAAACCCGTGTGACCGAAGCCAACACCAACACTTGGTGTATAGCTTTATTGTTGTTGTGACCTCTCAAAGTCTTTTTATTATAATAAAGAGAGTTAATCTCATTTAAGAGTTCTATGTGAGATAGGACTTTTGACCATTTGAAATTATGTGATTATGAAACATTGAAAATTATGACTTTTCATAATAAATCAATTGTTTTATTTATGAAAACTATTACTTTTCAAATAGCCAAACAGGGCTTATGTGCATGCCACCCATAATCACATAATTTTCATATCAACTAGTTAGCCAAACAGGGCTTATGTGCTCTTTCGCAAGACGAAAATGATATTAACTCTCTTTATTATGAAAACTAACTCTCTGGATAGGACTTTAGACTAACTAGTTGATATGAAAATTATGTGATTATGGGTGGCATGCACATAAGCCCTGTTTGGCTATTTGATAATGGATAACAAACAACTTATTGTATAAGTTGATATGTGATAGTTGATTTGACTAAGAAATTATATTATTTATTTGTAAATAACTGTTTGGTAATTAGCAGATTGTATAACTATTTCAAAAATTTTATGTTAACANTTATAGTATAAGTATGTATATATATATATATATATCTTAAAAAAATATAATTGCTTGATAAAAAAAAAACTTTTAATTTTCTTTAACAATAACGTATTTTTGTTTACAATTATAATATTGTTAGGAAGATACGTACAGTTAGACAATCATATTTTTTAAACAAATATACATTAAAATTAAAATTTGTGATACAAAAGTATTCACCGGATCAACTCTGCCTAATAATCAAATCGTCTCGACAAAAATTTGTGATTCTTAATTTATAGTTATTCAAATTATATAATGACACAAAATTCAAGCTCTACAAAATAGGAGTAATAAGTAATAACCAGTCCATCCTGAAGACTTAAATGTCAAAAATACCCTTCCTTAACCAATTACCTTGCCTCTTCATATTTCACATGAAGTTACATATGTACATAAATTTGTTAGAAAATCATATAATATTCACTCACAAAAACCACATATTTATATAAATATTTCATTTTTTTAAAACGATGCACAAAATTGAAGAGAAGCCGTCGTCCGATGATCCGGCTTTCGGAATCGGAGCCGCCGCCGCCGAACACCACCGCCGTCACCGGTACGAACGCCGGAATTTTCCGTTGAAGGACGCCTCGATGTTGACACATTCCTTGCCGGGAATACTTCTGATGATCTGCTTCACGGCGTCGCTTTTGGTCCTGCCGCTTGTACTCCCGCCGTTGCCTCCTCCTCCGCCGCCGCTGCTCCTCCTCGTCCCCGTCGCAATCATGGCGGTGTTGGTTTTCCTCGCCGTGGTTCCACCGGAGCTGTCCAGTGTGGCTTCCAATTCTTTGTGATGGGGTTATTAGCCGAGATTTTTGTAGATATAATGCTGATTTTAAATGAGTTTATTCTTGAGAAATTTTGATTTTCTTGTTTATTTTGGGGGTTTTATCATTTATGTAACTTCATTTATTTATTTTTTCATTTTGGGCTTACGAAAAGAAAAATAAAGAGAAAATTACACTAATTATCTTTAAAATCTCATTTTATTTTTATAGTTTTATTTATGGTTTATTTTTGTTGTTGATTTTTAGATTCAATCATTTTGTTGATTTATGACTAGATTTTTTTTTTCAACAAAACAAAATATTAAATAACAAAATGATTTATGACTAGTTTATATTCAGTTTATACATGATTTGATTTTGAATTCTGCATTTTTACAAAAGTTTTTAAAATAATTAGAAAATTTTTAAAAATGTAGAGAAATAAGTTGAAATTATAATTGTAATATCTCATGATTACATATTTAATTAATTAATAACATAAAAAGAATAACAAAAATGTTGAGAAATAAGTTAGAGTTATTATTTTTTGATAAAGAAATGTTTCCAACATTCTACTTCTAATTAATTTAATTGATTAATTTGCATTTATCTAATAGTATTTGTTAACAAAATAAATACATAGACATAAATTAGAATTGTTAATTTTTTTCGTTATTTATATGATCATTTTATCAAGACTACATTTAATCACACCTCGTTTTGGTTGAAAAATACAATTGATTAATAAGTTGGATTTTTTTTGCCTTTAACTGCCTACCATTATCTCACAAATACAATTAATTATCAATTCAAATTGAAAAACACAATTAATTATGTGGAATTTCCAAGATTATACTCTTATTTAATTTAATTCAATCAATTTACAAATTCAATGAATTACTTTGTATTTATCTAATATTTGTGAAAAAAAAAATAAGTTAGAATTAATTTTTTATTTAATGCATTATAATTCTATAAAATAATGCAATTCATTCGAATTGAAATGTTAAGAGTTAAATATACAAGAAGTTGCAAAAAATTGAGATTTTAGTGTTATTTGAGCCAAGTAATCCATGTTGGAACTCATACTCATTTAATAATTGAGTTGTTTCAATTGGCTCGTTTAACGTACAAACAAAACTGAGTCCAAACATTCTGCTCGGTTCTAACTCATTTAATAATAAATAAACCAAGATCGTTAAACAAAATGTGAGTCCGACTCGCTCGTGTGAGCTCGATTCTGCTCGACAACTCATTTAATAATAAATAAACCAAGATTGATCTAGTGTAAGCCCAATATGACAGGTTTCAAAAATTGTCATATTTGGATATGGAATTCTGATCTTATACAGCTTTGTTTTTATTACACATCCCTGCAAAATCCAGAAACAAAGTATGACAAAATTCTATTACACAAATACCCTTTTCTCTCCCTGCTTGCACAAGGACAAAAACCAATACACCAAAGAATGTAAAAAGAATCAAACAACATATATTCCCAACAAAAAGAGGAAACAAAATCAAAAAGAAAGGAAAAAAAAAATAAAAAATTAACAAGAGGCAACACAAATACCTATATTAACAATGCCATGTAAAGAAATGCTCACACAAAAAAATAAAAATAAAAATAAAAGCGCAGAAAACCCACGAAAACCGCGCATCTTACGTGTCCTCGGCAAAAGCTTTCAAAATGTAGTCACGAAAACGCCTCGAGTACTGTTTCGGGTCGACTGCTGATATGGAGTTGGGGTCGTATTGAATGGATTTGTACGCGTGCTCGAGTTTCTTGGTGATGTCATAATCCTGAAGAATGTCGATAATGCCGAAGAACATTACCACATCGTAATATTCTCCCGTGGGCTCACCTACCAACTGAAGCTCCGTGTCTTGTTTCCTTTCGGTTCTTTCGACACGAGCTGGCATGTTGATCCCGAGTCGAATGCTGGCCCACCTTAGGGAAAAAAAGAAAACGAGGATTCGAGACGAGTTTTTTAATGAATCAAAGTCGAGACACAAATGTGATGTTTTTTTTTTTAACGTTGTTTTTTTTTCATTTTTTGGTGAGCGAGAACTTAATAATATAATAATGGAAAAAGAAAGGATCTAAAAGCAAATAGATAATTCTCACCTGAGGAAAAAAAACGAGGATTCGAGACGAGTTTTTAATGAATCAAAGTCGAGACACAAACGTGATGGTGTTTTAAACGTTGTTTTGTAAGTTCATTCGGACGAACGAGCTTTAGTCGAGTTTTCATTTTTGGTGGGTGGGTGAAAACCAATGATATAATAATGGAAAATGTAAGGATCTAAATGCAAATAGATAATTCTCACCCGGCAGGGTCTAAAAGCAACTGGTCTACATCTGCTCGGGATAAACGTGGAACTGATTCGTCTGAACCACCATTATCTGCACATCACAGAAAATGATTAAACAAAAAAAAAATTATAGTTTTCTCAAATGATTCTGCTCGGTTAAATCCGAATCTTGCATCTGGTTTACACATTAGATTCTGATTTGGCTGTGTAACAAATCTATCACTTTGAAGGCACAAGCTTCGGATTATAGATTTTCGGCAAAAAACAGAGAAAGTGTGTAGTAAATAGTAATTACCGACAGGGGTTAAAGTCCCAGTTGGAGTGTGCTCGTCGTTCGATGCCTCTGTAAAATGAAGACCAACCAAAAGGCTGTAATCCATAATCCTCTCTTGTTCAAGAAACTCACAGTCCCGGTCGACTTGTCTGCATTGAAAGTTAATATTTTTTTATTTTTTATTTTATTTTTAAATCGTTCTCTTCAACATGAATTCACGATTCGATAGTTTTACCTTCTGAATTCTTGGAACCAAGTCTTTTGGAGCCGGAAAATGAAGTTGAGATCGAGATCTTTGAGTGTTGTGTTTGCATCGATTTCTGATTCGGGCTTATCTGTCAGCCGGCCAAAAGTCGATCCTTTCAAATCATATCTTCTGTGAATAGTGTACTCTGAACAGAATAGATTTCCCATGATGATAAACCGAACCTAAAACCAAACGAACCACATTAATCCTTGACNNNAAAACTAACTAAAACAGGTCATTCATATGTTCATTCATACCTTCTGTCCGTTCAACTTGACACAATGCAGGCCGAAATATTTGGTCACTAGCGTGTTCTCAAAGGCTCGAACGTGATTATAATATGCGTTCAGCATCCTCAGGAGAACCTAATTTGTAGGATGATTAGTATATATATATAATGTATATTATTAGCAAATGGTAAAAAGAGAAAAACTCACTTTCACTTCAGCTTTCTTCATTGTCTTTATCATGTAACGATCATCATTGGTCAAGTAAAAAAAGCTTCCGCTTTTACCGGGAGATGAAAGCTCCCGCAATGCATCATTGCCGCATATCGATAGCATATAATCTGCTGGATCCACTTTGAATAACATTCTCAGTGTCCTGCAAATAAGAAGCTGTTATTTTCAGGAAAAATCACAAAAAAAAAAATAAAATTACGAGCTTATAACACGTGCAGAAGGGCTTTATCAGCTCAGGCGAACCTCACCTGAATACTTTGGGGCAATAATCTTTCCATTTAAACTCACAAGATTGGTGGGGTGGTGTAATTTTGGAACCCTCGGGAGGAAATTTCGTCCAAAATTTCTCCTTAGGGTCGAAAGCTGATGGCTTCAAATCGAGCGATGGAGGAGGTCCAGGTCGGCCCACTGAATGCCTGTAAAGTTAGAATGATGATATCGTTAAACGAGAAGGATTACAGTCGAGAAAAATACACGTACTATATTCCTGAGTTGTAAACAGTTCTTGTATGCTAGGAAAGAAAGAAGCAAGATTATTATTTTTTTTTTTTCACACATCTGGACACAAATTACCAACACATGATAGGGAAGCAAGCAAATTTTTATCTTAAAAGGACTAAAATGCTGTTTTCCTAACCCCATTACATCTCAGCCTTCCCATTTTTCTCCTTAGTAACTATATGCAAACACTTGGAAAAGAAAACAAAAACGGAAAATCGATTCTCAGCTACTAGCACAAACAAAAAGTGCCTACAAGCTGCAAACATTCTCATTATCACACTCGCATACAATGAAAGAAGAACCAAGATACATCAAATTACCAACATATGATATGGAAGCAAGCAAAATTTATCTTAAAGAAACTTAAATGCCGTTTTCCTAACCCCATTTCATCTCAACCCTCCCATTTTCCTCCTTATTAACTATTTCCAAACACTTGAAAACAAAAAAAAAAGGGAAAATCGATTCTTGTAAGAGTTGGGGAAGAGGGTCCCACGCAGGTGAAAAGCACCATAAGAGGGTGAGCTTAGGTGCACCTTAGTGAGTTTCCATCCCAAAACCAATTGGTGGTGGGAGTAGCCCACTAGGCATATAAACTAGCCTCATTTTCCCTATAGACTCAAATGTGTGACAACTCACAAGTGATATCCCAACAATTCTCAACTTCTAGCACAAACATTAAGCTCCTTCTAGCTGCACCAACATTCCAATTATCACCAGCATCACAACCAAATTCAGCATAACAAAAACATAACAAAACAAAAAACACAACCAAGAACTCAAAAAACATAACAAAAACAC